TTGAAGACGAAGAAGAAAGTAGGAGGACTCGCACTACCTGACCTCAGAACCTACTATATAGCTATGGAAGTCAAAACAGCCTGGTAGGGGTACAATGGCAGATACATTGACCAGTGGAACAGAATTGAGAACCCAAATGTAAATCCATCTACGTACGGTCACTGGATCTTTGACAAAGGCCCGAAGTCCATTAAATGGGGAAAAGACAGTCTTTTTAAGAAATGGTGCTGGAAAAACTAGATGTCCTTCTGTAAAAAAATGAAACAGGACCCATACCTCACACTATACACAAGAACTAATTCAAAATGGATCAAAGACCTAAATATAAAACCAAAAAGTATAAAGTTCATAGAAGAAGAAATAAGGTCAACACTAGTGGCCCTAACACATGGCATAAATAGCATGCAAACCATAACTAACAACACACAAACACCAGAAGATAAGCTAAATAAACGGGATCTTCTTAAAATTAAACACTTATGCTCATCAAAAGTCTTCATCAAAAAAGTAAAAACAGAACACACAGACTGGGAAAAAAATTTTGGCTATGACAAATCTGACAAAGTTCTGATCTCTAAAATCTATAGGAAAATCCAATACCTCTACAACAAAAAGACAAATAATCCAATTAAAAAAATGGGCAAAGACTATGAACAGACATTTCACCAAAGAAGACATTCAGGCAGCTAACAGACACATGAAGAAATGCTCGCGATCACTAGCTGTTAGAGAAATGCAAATCAAAACTACAATGAGATACCATCTCACCCCAGCATTTCTGGCACAAATAAAAAAAAACAAAACAAAACAGAAAATAACAAATGCTGGAGAGGCTGCAGGGAGATTGGAACTTTTATGCACTGCTGGTGGGAATGTAAAATGGTACAACCATTTTGTAAAACAATATGGCGCTTCCTTAAAAAGCTAGAAATAGAAATACCATACAATCCAGCAATCTCACTCCTAGGACTATATCCTAGAGGAACAAGTGCCATCATATGAATAGACATATGCACACCCATGTTCACTGCAGCATTATTTACAATAGCAAAAAGATGGAAACAACATAAGTGCCCATCAACAGATGAATGGATAAACAAACTATAGTGCATACACACAATGGAATATCATGCAATAATAAAGGGCAATGATGAATCTGCAAAACATCTCACAACATGGATGAATCTGGAGGGCATTATGCTGAGTGTAATGAGTCAATCACAAAAGGACAATACTGTATGAGACCACTATTATAAAAACTCATGAAAAGGTTTATACAAAGAAATAAACCATCTTTGATGTTTACAAGGGACGGGAGGGGTGGAGAGGGAAAAACACTAAATAGACATTAGATAAGTGGTAACTTTGGTGAAGGGTAAGACAGTACACAATTCTGGGCAAGTCAGCACAACTTGACCAAGTCCAGGTCATGGACACTTCATAGACACATCCAAACTCCCTGAGGGACCGAATTACAGGGTTGAGGGCTGGGGATCATGGTCTTGGGGGACACCTAGCTCAACTGGCATGACATAGTTTATAAAGAAAATGTTCTACATCCTACTTTGGTGAGTAGCGTCTGGAGTCTTAAAAGCTTGTGAGTATCTAAGATACTCCACTTGTTCCACCCCGTCTGGAGCAAGGGAGAATGAAGAAAATCAAAGATACAAGGGCAAGATTAGTCCAAAGGACTAATGGACCACAACTACCACAGCCTCCACGAGACTGAGTCCAGCACAACTAGATGGTACCTGGCTACCACCACCGACTACTCTGACAGGGATCACAATAGAGGGTCCCCGACAGAGCTGGAGAAAAATGTAGAACATTCTAACTCACAGAAAAAGACCAGACTTACTGGTCTGACAGAGACTGGAGAAACACCAAGAGTATGGCCCCTGGATACTCTTTTAACTCAGTACTGAAGTCACTCCTGAGGTTCACCCTTCAGCCAAATATTAGACAGGCCCATAAAACTAAACGGGACTAAATGGGCACACCAGCTCAGAGGCAAGGACAAAAAGCCAGGAGGGGACAGGAAAGCTGGAGACAGGGAACCCAACGTTGAGAGAGGGAGAGAGTTGACATGTCGTGGGGTTGGCAACCAATGTCACAGAACAATATGTGTATTAATTTTTAATGAGAAACTAATTTGCTCTGTAAACCTTCATCTAAAGTACAACAAAAAAACGTATTTCCACAACTGAAATGTGTATTATTTTTTCAAAGTTTTATCATTGTTATTTATTTTTACTCTTGTTTCTGAATATTCAGTACTTGTTCATTTTCTATGTATACTTACTTACATGTCTATTATAAACAATATTGAATTTTTACTGTATATTAACTTCTGAAAAGAGTGAATAAATGAAGATTGTTTTTATTTGCTTGACAAAATAATTGAAAGATTATTTTTTGTATGAAGCTGATATTCTTTCACAATTGTATCTGCCCAGATTTTAAAATATTTTGTAATAAAAAAATACAATGCTTACAGAAAAAAAGTGGGGAAAATGGATTTAATTTTGACATACTTGCAACACATTTTTGAAATGGAGAAAGCATATGTAGGTATAGAAGTATTAACCTACTGCCATTGAGTCGATTCCACCTCATAGCAACCCTACAGGACAGAGTAGAACTGTCCCATGCGGTTTTCAAGGCTGAAATCTTTATGGTAGCAGACTGCCACATCTTTCTCCCGTGGAGCAGCTGGTAGGTTCAAACCATCTACCTTTCGGTTAGCAGCCAAGTGTTTAAACACTGCGCAACAAGGGCCCCTTATAGAAGCGTTACCAAGAACTATTTTCAGGACTGATAGAAGGGAGACAAGTAAACCGTTTTTGAGAAGAAAGTAAAGGTAGGAGTAAGCAAAGGTCAGGAAGTGAAGAAAAATACCCAGTATTTAAACTTTCTGGGGAAAATTTAGTAAGATGAAGGTTACTACATTGTGCCATGGAGACTGTTAACTCATCGAGTATTCTAAGCCCTTTTGCAAAAAACTAATATGGACATTAGTTAATAATAGTGGTGATAGTTACCACTTACCACCAACTTTACATACATCAATACTGAGGCAAGACTGATTACTCCCCTGTTTACAGATGAGACAAGAGCCCTAGAATAAATGAGGATTCGCTCTTCAACCCTAAAATAACAGTAACCTTTGAAACTTGAAAAGGGAAAACGTAAGGCAAGCACCAATAATTATTTTTTACATTACACTTGCAGAACTCATTTAAATATCTTAAGTATTTGAGTTCCTTCATGAACGGCTGAGCTATAACAGGTTAGGAAGAAAAAAGACAATGCTGGTGTTTTCAGGTTGGATTCAGTGGCCCATTCTGCTACCCAACATACCCTACGGTGTCGCTGTCAAGGCCAGATTGTAAGGCTGAATGGATCAGAGTTCAGATCCAGTATGATGCTGGGTGCTTATGGTCACACTGCAGCTGCTAGAAGTCAGCCACCTTGGATGCCTCCTGTACGCTGATGAGTCCACAATTAGTCATCTGTGAAGTCTCTTTGGGAAAAGGTGAAGCTCTTAAATTTTGGTTTACCTTTAAATGGTGGCATCATGAAACTACTACATTCATTTGAAAAGACTGAAAGGTGAGGAAGTGGTAAAACCCAAATGGATTTGACATGCTTAAATATTTTGAGTCACTGGTAGTCAATGCGAACAAGTAATTATTGAAGTGTTTTTAAGAATGGCTAATTTAAATAGCATTTGGCTATATATTTCACATAAAACAAAGTTACACCAACATCCAAGTTGAGAAATTTGCTTAAATACTTTAGATGCCAGTAAATGAAGCAATAACTACAGAGTAGTTTTGGAACTTTATTTCTCTTTAGGATAGGCAATTATTTATTTTTTCTTTTATTATTTTAAATATTAAGTATAAGTTTAAAACAAATCAAAGTTTTGCAGTGATATCAGCTGCCAGATTTAGTTTTTACCACTGATCCTTGGGTTTCTGTGTCCTATCATTTATGGGCCTAAATTTCATTCCTCAGCTGGAAGTGAGAAACTAAAGGTGGATAGGAAAAAGAAAAAAACTCAACTGTTTAACTTGATTTCATTACTTCATTTCTGAAAGGTATCATCTTTAATAATTAATGTTTGGCACAAGAGAAGGCAATATGTTCTGGGCAAGAACAAGATCTGCGTATGTTCCCCATGTTTCCTTGATGTTACTGATGTTATGAAAGCTGTATTCTGCCCTCTTCTAATCTTCCATTTGTTTACAGGCACAAGGAAAAGACCCATGATGTCACAGAGGAGCAAAATCCTCCTTCTATTCCCTCAGTTTAAACAGATTTGTTTCCTATGCATAGACTCCCTAGTTTCAATTTCCCTCTCCTTTTTCTTTGGTCCAGAAGTGATGCAGTACAGAGCCAATGAATAACACTCCACTCTGCAAAGTAGGGTTGGAGAGAGAGTGCCCATTCCACCTGGCACAATTCAAAGGAAACGAGCACCATGTGGTCTCCCGATAGGAAGGACATGTGAGTTCTCCCCAGGGACCAGCTAAGTTTGCCCTCCACGAGTTCCTGCAAACCTGCTTGCTCACTCTAGATTAGACTTAGTACTGGTTGACAGCCAGAATGGCAAATAGGCTTCCCCTTCCATGCCAAGTCCAGTTGATTAGGAAGGTCTGCCTGGAACTCTGTACTGAGAATTCTGAGAGTGGACTGGCAGCACATACATGACACACTTGTATTCAGTGACTTAGATGCTATCAACAAGAAGCTTCTCAGATGATAACTCCATGGCTAATAACCCAGCAGAGTGTTGTTAGCTCATCTACTAATCCAAATATTTTTGAATCAGTGACAGGGACTATTTTGCCAAAATTACATTTTTGATTACTTACTATATGTAGTTATTCCTAAAATATAATATGATATTGAGAAAAGGCAAGTAGTGACTAACATGTGTTACATGGAAGCTCTTTTAACTCTTATAAGAAGAAATTTTATGAATCCATACTTACAGGATCCCCTCCAGAGGCAAATGAAATAGACTGCATATGATGATTTGCAATAATCTGAAAAACATAAACAAATTAAACATGTGTAATACTGCAAATTAATCATCACTTCTAGTTACATACAGTCTGTCAGTAAATGGTTCCCTTTGGGAACCACCCCACCCAAATCTATAAGAAGCATGTTGAGATCATGCCCAGCTCACTGCCGCTCCCCCACCCAGGTGGACAAATGTTCCAGGCCTAGCCAATCAAAAAATGCCATCCTTCTGGATATAGCAGAGTACATCAACGTCTTTGGTAATGAATTGAGATGGACGGTTTGAAAGAAAGCATCTCTTTCTGACATTAAGGACCATGTAAGCCCAAAGCTCTTGGAGACTATCTTTTGTTGCCATATAGAAAAAGACTGTTGCAAAATAAAGCTTCCTCTCTGGAGAAAGTCAAGAGCTGGGAGTTAAAAATGTTGGTAGTCACATTTGTTCCATCACTTAGACCAGTAAATTTCCCCCCCTCTGATTAATTAATTATGCATAAGTTAGTTTGACTTGGGTTTCAGTCATTCACCACCAAAAGAGTCCTGACTATGGCACTGACATTAAAACTTGTAATATAAAGCAAGACTATCCAAGTGAACTGCATTAGTTACCCCAAAAAAGCTTCTCTTTTACTTGGGATTGCTTGACTAAAACCTGCAGTATAATGACCAATATTCAGAGATGTGTTTGTCATACTGTTTTGAAGGTTCCTTAAAACAATAACTGTATACCTACTGGCTCATCCTTTTGAGAAGTACTAGTGTTCAAAAATTCAACACACGTTATCTGATAAGTTATCAAGGGCAGCCATGATGGATCAACATAGATCCCTCTATAACTGCTTATAGAAAATTCTTTCAATGCTTGTAGACTTTGTTTCTTAAAAAAGGTATTTATTCAACACACAGTGGACCATTTGGATTTGCTCACTACTTACAGAAATCCCCACATAGTTTCTTCATACATAAGTAAAACCACTGTCATCAAGTCAATTCTGACTCATAGCGACACTACAGGACAGAGTACAACTACACCACAGGGTTTCCAAGGCTGTAATCTTTATGGGAACAGATTGCCAGGTCTTTTCTCTAGTGAAGTGGCTGGTGGGTTTGAACTGCCGACCTTTCTGTTAGAAGCTGAACACTGTAACCACTGCACCACCAGGGTTCCTTTATATACCGGTAGTGATCACCCACTGACAGCAAGCCAAACCCCTGCCTCTTACATAGTAGGAGGAACTCTCAAGGTAGTGTGTTAAGCGTGGTAAACATGGAAAGAATAATTTGATCTGGAAACGCACCCTCAAGAAAGAAAGCACTATGTAAAATAGAATAATTTTTGAATCTTTACATCAATAAATTTGAAAAACAAATAAAATGGGCAATTTTCTAGGAACATGTTTCAGAAACAGGCTCAAAAATGGAAACACTTGAACTTGCCAACAACTCTCATATAAACTCAAATGGGGTGAAAGATCTGCCCCAGAAAAGAGCATGTCCAGATGACTTTATAGGAAAGTTCCATGAAACATAACAGATAATTTCTATCTTACATAACTGTCCCAGAACACAGAAAAAGATGAAATGCCACACAATAGATTTTATGATTATAGTACAAGCTTAATACTGAAACTGGACGAGGGCTATCTAAGAAATGAAAACTATGGGTTAATATCACTTGTAAACATAGTTGGAAAATCTAAATATAATGTTAGAAAATCAAATCTACCATAATGGCAAAACAAAGTTTATTTCAGAAATGTAAGGCTGGTGCAATATTAGAAAAAAACTTATTAATGTGATTCACTACAGTAGCAAACTGAGAAAAAAACAATCATCTTGATGGATGTCAATGAAGTGTGTGATAAAATTCAACCTTATTTATGATAGAAATTCTTAACAAACCAGAAATAGAAGAAAATATTCTTAACTAGTGTCATGGTTTGAATTATGTCCCCCCAAAAATGTGTATATCAGTTTGGCTGGGCCATGATTCCTGGTACTGTGTGATTTTCCTATATGTTGTAAATCCTGCCTCTATGATATTAATGAGGGAGGATGGGTGGCAGTTGTGTTAGTAAGGCAGGACTGGATCTGCAAGACTGGATTGTGTCCTGAGGCAATCTCTTGAGATATAAAAGACAGAAGTGAGCAGTGAGACAGGGGGACCTCATAGCATCAAGAAAGCAGTGCCAGGAGCAGAGCACGTCCTTTGGACTGGGGTCCCTGGGCAGAGAAGCTCCTAGTCCGGGAGAACACCGAAGAGAAGAAGGCCGACAGAGAGAGAAAGACTTCCCCTGGAGCTGACGCCCTGAATTTGGACTTTTAGCCTACTTTGACTGTGAGGAAATAAATTTCTCCTTGTTAAAACCATCCACTTGTGGTATTTCTGTTAATGGCAGCACTAGATGACTAAGACAACTAGTAAGGGGTATTCACCAAATATCTCATTTAATGGTGAAATTTTAAAACATTTCCTTTAAAGTCATAACGTCCTACTACAACTGCTACTATTGACAAATACAAAAATAAGAAAAATTTTAGATGAAAACAGAGATAAAATTGTCACTTTTTGTAGACAATTTGAGTATCTACCCCAAATCAAAACAAATAAAAGAAGTTAACTCAACTAACAAAATATTAGAAGAAATTAGAAAGTTCAATTGGACAAATTTGCTGCAAAAGAACTCTTTCAAGTGTTAAAAAGCAAAGATGTCACTTTGAGGACTAAGGTGTGCCCGACCCAAGCCATGGTATTTTCAATCACCTCATACGCATGCGAAAGCTGGACAATGAATAAGGAAGACTGAAGACTTAATGATTTGAATTATGGTGATGGCGAAGAATGTTGACTATACCATGGATTGCCAGAAGAATGAACGAATCTGTCTTGAAAGAAGTACAACCAGAATGCTCCTTAGAAGCAAGGATGGTGAGGCTTCATCTTATGTACTTTGGACACGTTATCAGCAGGGACCAATCCCTGGAAAAGGACATCATGCTTAGTAAAGTAGGGGTCATCAAAAAACAGGAAGACCCTCAAAGAGATGGATTAACACAGTGGCTGCAACAATGGGTTCAAACATAGCAATGATTGTGTGGATGACGCAGGACCTGGCAGTGTTTCATTCTGTTGTGCATAGGGTTGCTACGAGTCGGAACTGATTCAATGGCACCTAACAACAACAATTATTTTGAGATTCACCCACATTGTTGTATGTATCAATAGTTCATTCCTTTATATTTGTTATGGATTGAATTGCGTCCTCCCAAAATATCTGGTGGAAATCCTGATCCCCATACCTATGGTTGTAATCCCATTTGGGAATAGGGTTTTCTTTTGTTACGTTAATGAGGCCATATCAGTATAGAGTGTTTTAAGCCATTCACTTTTGAGATATAAAAGGCGAAGATTAGGTACAGCAACAAGCAAGCACACATGGGGGAAAACAAATGCCACTTCACATGAAGACTGCCAAGGAACCAAGGAACAGAAACTGAAGAGACAGGAACTTCCCCTAGAGCAGAAAGAAAAAGAATGCATTCCCCTAGAGCCGGTACCCTGAATTTGGAATTCTAGCCTCCTAAACTGTGAGAAAATAAATTTCTGTTCATTAGAAAAAAGACTCTCTCTCTCTCTCTCTCTATATATATATATATATAATTTTTTTTTTTTTTGCTTTTTTTTTTATTGTGCTTTAGGTGAAAGTTTACAGCTCAGGTTAATTTCTCATTCAAAAATTTATACACACGTTTTGTGACATTGGTTGCAATCCCCACAATTTGACAGCACACTCTCCCTTTCCATCCCCAGTTCCCTGTGTCCGTTCATCCAGTTCCTGTCCTTTCCTGTCTTTTCGTCCTGCTTTTGGACAGGATCTGCCCATTTGGTCTTGTGCATTTGACTAAGAAGCACATTCCTCACGTGTGTTATTTTTTGTTTTACAGGCCTGTCTAATCTTTGTCTGAAAAGTAGGCTTCAGGAATGGTTTCAGTTTTGGATTAGCAGGGCTTCCAGGGGCCGTAGTTTCGGGGTTCCTCCAGTCTCTGTCAGACCAGTAAGTCTAGTCTTTTTACAGGAATTTGAATTATTTTCTACATTTTTCTCCTGCTCTGTCTAGAACTCTGTTATGATATCTGTCAGGGTAGTCATTGGTGGTAGCCAGGGACCATCTGGTTCTTCTGGTCTAAGGCTGGTGGAGTCTCTGGTTCATGTGGTCCTTTTGTCCTTTGGGCTAGTATTTTCCTTGTGTCTCTGGTTTTCTTCATTCTCCTTTGCTCCAGGTGGAATAGGACCAACAGATGTATCTTAGAAGGCCGCTGGAAGCCTTTTAGGACCCCAGGCACTACTCACCAAAGTGGGATGTAGAACATTTTCTTTTAAACTGTTATACCAATTGACCTTGATGTCTCCCGAGATTATGGTCCCCAGGCCTCAGCCCCAGCTATTCCATCCCTCAAAACGTTTGGTCCCTCTAGAAAACGACTATGCTTTTGCTTTAGTCCAGTTGTACTGACTTCCCCTATATTGTGTGCTGTCCTTCCCTTCACCAAAGTTGACACTTACCTACTATCTAGTCAGTGATTTCCCCTCACCCTCCCTCTGTACACATAACCATCAAAGAATGCTTTTTTTCTGTGTAAATCTTTTCTGTGTAAATCTGTAAATCTTTTCTTGAGTTCTTATAACAGTGGTCTCCTACAATATTTGTCCTTTTGTGACTGAGTTATTTCACTCAGCATAATGCCCTTCAGATTCATCCATGTCGTGAGATGTTTTGTTGATTCATCATTATTTATCTTTGCATAGTATTCCATTGTGTGTATGTACCTTAATTTGTTTAGTCATTCATGTATTGATGGGCATTTAGGTTGTTTCCATCTTTTTCCTGCTGTGATAGTGTTACAGTGAACATGAGTGTGCATATGCTTATTCGTGTGATGGCTCATATTTCTCTAGGGTATATTCCTAGGAGTGGGATTGCTGGATCATATGGTATTTCTATTTCTAGCTTTTTAAGGA